TGAGGTCAGTTCTGCAGTGTGGGCAGTTCTACAGTGTGGGCAGGCCTCTTCCACTCCCACTGAGGTCCCCTCAGCACAGGACCCTTCCCCACCTAGAGACAGGCGGGTGGGCCCACTGCCAAAGAGGGCCAAGTAAAGACAAAGGCTGGGAGTAGGTAAGACGAATTGTAGGAAGAGCAGGACAACCGCCCTCAGCTACACACACGGGGCCACAGGGATGACTCCGGGAGAGGGGAGGATTCAGAGAGCAGCGTGAAATGGGGGCTAAGGTCGGCCAGGAAAATGGCCTGGTCCCCTCTCAGTGGCGCACAAACCCTGTCCCCAGGCTTCCACTCTGCTGGGGCTTTCATGGAAAGTTCAGAGTCTGTTCCCGTTGAACCCACGCCCAGAAAAAGAGGGGGGACTGAGTCTGCCGCCTCCTCGGATATTTCGCCAGGATAGCCAGGGCGCCAAGAAACCGACACACGAATCCTGTCTGCAACAGTAAAAGCGCACCAAACAAGTGAGTGCCGGTGACCCCACTCCCGCGGGCCGACAGCGCCCCAGCTGTTCCCACCTCAGCTATGCCTCAAGCCCCAGTCCCCGCTGCCGCGACCTCACTTAGAGCTGCGGCGTCCACCCGCCCGCTTCCCGGTGTCCTTTATCCACATCCGCCGCCGGGGTCTTCACTCTCCAATGAGGAACGAGTCCGGCGCCTTTTCCTCCGATGGGGCCGCACCCTCGGGCGATGTGAACTCAGGGCCCATTTCTACAAACGGAAAATATTCGTGGCCCCAAGGGCGGGTGCGGAGCGCCACCAGGTGAGCCAGGTTTCCGCCCAACCCGAGAAGTCCCGCCCCGCTGTGCGCTGTTCCCCTCCTAGTCGCGGTGCGCACTCACCGGCACCGCGACCTCAGGTGAGACTGGTCAGGGAGGAGGCCTGTCCCAGCGCTGTCACTCGAGGGTATGAGGTGTGCCGTTGCCGCCGGGTCGCCCATCCTTAGTGCTGACGCCCAGAGGAGACTTCCAGAACCCATGCAAGTCCCATCAAAGCTGGTCCTTTGGGGGCCCGCCAGCGCATTCAGATTCCAACGGGGCCCCAGAACCTGCCCGACCTACCGGTAATCCCCAGCTGACAACCCCTAGCCTCCGAAACCCTATGTGTTCCAAAACTGAGGAAGTTGCGGGGCTGAACCCTGACGCAGTGAGGGCGCCTCCCAGACCAGCCCCGGGCTCAGGGAGTGGCCCACAGCTCTCTACTAGACTCTAGGACAGTCCTGGGTCGTAGCCCGGGGCTGACCAGCGGGAGGGACAGAGAGGACGTTCGTGTATCAGAACAAAGTTACAGAAGCCTCCACGCCCGACTCCTCTGGCCGTCGGAGCCCGCCAGCTCGGCCGCGGAGGTGGTGGGCTCAGCGCGTGGGTGCCCACGCCGGACGTCCCATCGTCTTTTGCGCTGAGCCCCGCGGGCCAGACCCGCTCGGATCACGTGGTCTGGGGCCCCAGGTTGGGCGCCGACCCCGTGGTGGGAAGGAGGTCAAGGAAGGGAGGAGGGGCGGCGCCAGGGGCGGGGCAGCGGCGAGGAACCGCCCGCGCTGGGGTTCCCTGCGGGGCCAAGCAGCCCGGGATCCCAGTCCTTAGCCGGTTAGTCGCCGGCCCGCGTGTCCTACGCGCTCTCCAGCCCTTCCCCGGCCCTCGCGACCGTGGGTGAGTGTCCCCGCCCTGCGCCCTCCACGCGCTCCCAGCACGCGAGACCCTTCGACCACACCTTCTTCGGCCGAGCGGTGGAAGTGGTGGGTTTGACACTTCAGCCGCCCTAGGGACTCCGCGCGGGCCAGCTCCCTCCGGCTCCAGAGGCGCTCTGGGAGCAGCCTGGCCGTAGAAGAGGGAGCGCGCGAGGCTTCAGCGGTGGCACCTGCGGGCCCCGAGCGCTGGCGGGTCTACACACGGCCGGCCGTGACACTGACGACTGCCCCTCTTCCCTGCAGGTCCCGGCGGCGCCCGGGAAGATGTACCAGAGCCTAGCTCTGGCCCCAAGCCCCGGACAGGCCGCCTACGCCGACTCGGGCCCCTTTCTACACGCGCCGAACACTGGCTCCCCGGTGTTTGTGCCTCCGGCGCGCGTGCCTCCCATGCTACCCTACCTGCCGGCGTGCGAGCCAGGCCCGCAGCCGCCAGCGCTCGCCGCGCACTCCAGCTGGGCGCAGGCAGCCGCCGACTCATCTGCCTTCGGCGCCGGAAGCCCCCATCCTCCGCCCGCGCAGCCTCCGGGGGCCACTGCATTCCCCTTCGTGCACAGTTCCTCGGGAGCCGGCGGCGGCGCGGGGGGCCGGGACGGCGGAACCTACCAGGCTGCTCTGCTGGGTCGGGAGCAGTACTCGGCTCCGCTGGGGCGATCCATGGGCGCTTCGTATCCCAGCCCCTACCCGGCCTACGTGAGCCCCGAAGTGGTCTCGACCTGGGCCAGCGGACCCTTCGACACCAGCGCCCTGCCGGGCCTCCCGGGCCGAAGAGCTGCCTTCGGTGAGTCGGGGTGTGGGGGCGTCTTCTCTTGATTCGGTCTGTGTGCTGGCTTGCAGTGCGCAAACCCGCACCCTGCGAAATGCCGTCCGCCACGGCCAGAACTTTGCGTTGGGAGAGCAGCCGGGTAGGCCCAGAACTCAGGGACTTGAGAACCGATCCAGCTTCTGTTTTCACCGATTAATAAGAAACATTTCCACTCATCTCAACCCCAAGTCACTTTCTGGATCTTGACAATCAGGAGTCTAAGATTTGAACGTTTTTATGAAATCGGTTTCCGAAATTATTTCTGTAAAACTCACAATGCCCTTTTGAATAGCGGCCTCAGTCGTCTCTTTACTCACTGCCCTTGAGTGGGTCCCAACTCACAGCACTTTGTAGGGCAGAATAGGGGCGTTCCTTAGAGTTTAGGAGACTGTACATCTTTACGGGAGGGAGCAGACAGCCTCAGTTTTCTCCCACAAAGCAGGAGCGGCTGGTGGGTTTGAATCGCCAACCTTGCAGTTAACAACCAAACGTTTAACCCACCATTCTCTGGAATGTTGATTAACTCCTATTGGAGGCCTGCTTTCGATTGCTCCGTGAGCATACATTTGAATCATCGGATTGCAGGCCTCTGAAACTCCACCCCGGTTCTGAGAAGTTGGCGCCAGCGCTTTTTCTACACGGTGAGGGAGCGTGCTTGGGAACTCCAAGTCGAGGGCCACGCCCTCCTTGTTGGGTGCCCCGCTAGCACCCCCAGGAGCCATCCCCCCCTGCTCTGCCCTTCCGAGCTGCAAGTTGGCCGATGATGCCCAGGCAGCCCCGTATCTGGTGCCACCCCAGACTCAGACCAGGAGCCGTCCTGCCCTATCCCACTCGTCTTCCCCAGCGCTTGGCCGGGACCCTGAGGGATACACAGCGGCCCCACCCCAGGCCTTGTGTGAAGCAGAAAGCGCCTGTGCCCTGGTTTTTGCCCTGTTCATGCCTCTGTCTGGGGGGTATAGAGGATGGGCCTTCAGGGGGGTTCCCAAGTACAGGTGCTGGAGAAGGACTCAAAAGACAGGGATTCCCAGGGGACCCCCCATGGTATTTACTAACTCCCTTTATAAAAGCATCCCTAACGATTTACATTCTGTACAAATTTTACTGTTTGTAAATTTAAAGCAAATTTTTAAAGCTTAAGTAAGCTTCACTAATGAACTGATTTGCTTTAAAGTAAGATAAACTCATGACAAATAAAGATAAAGGTAAAACTTAGAGTAGGGAGAAAGACAGGCAGGGTTGTGGGTGGGGGTCCTAGGCTCCATGTGAGGGCAATCCCCCCACTAGCTGCCTGCCCCCCAGTGTCCGACTTCTTGGAGGAGTTTCCCGGAGAAGGTCGCGAGTGTGTCAACTGTGGGGCCCTGTCCACACCGCTGTGGCGCCGGGACGGCACCGGGCACTACCTGTGCAACGCATGTGGCCTCTACCACAAGATGAACGGCGTCAACCGGCCGCTGGTGCAGCCGCAGAAGCGCCTGGTGAGTGTGGCAGTGTGACAGCTGCTCTGTCCCTGTGACCCACCCAGGGACTAAAGTGACTGGGAATGGGGTAGGGGATTCGTGTGCTTGTGTTCAAGGGAGTGAGAGAGATCTCGGACAGAGGGGTGCGCTTCCTCGGGGTCCAGGCTTAGCCCTTCTCAGACTTTCCCTGACAGCACCTGAGAGACTGGGGGCTTTAGGACAAGGGGAGAGAGAGAGGACTGAGCCCCGGACCTGTGAGCGTGACTGGACAGACCTAGGTGTCCCTCTTTGGCTCAGCTTCTCTTGTCCACCTGGCAGAGCTGAGAGACTAGGGTTGGGGAGGTCTCGTGCAGGGGAGTGAGCTGTGAGCCGGGACTTGGGACCGGGACAGGGAGACTGACTGGGGCCTTCCGGATACACAAACTCAGCAACACCCGTAAGGGGCTTTTTTGTTCTCCAGGCGGGAAGACCACCTGGAAGCCCAATTTGATTTTGAAAACTAATGACCGAGATGCTTAGTGAACTTCTTGGTACCGGGACCCAGGAGGACGGAAGGTGACCTCACCTGGGAAGAGGACAGCTGGCTAGCTGCTGGGGTGGAGAGAACCTTTAGTTCTGTACCAGAGCCTGCTACCTTGGGCAAACTTACTTTCAGTTTTGGTTCCTCCTGCTGTGTAGGGAGCAGAGAGTGGAGACTGGGGAGCCCTGACTTTTGCCCCAGAAACTGGTGTGAAAAGTTAAAGATAATTTCGTTCTACACTGCTTCACAAACCTTTTCTTTTTTGAATTGTAGTTTGGGTGAAATTTACAGGCACATTAGTTTTCCATTCAGTCATTGACACACAGTTTGGGTGAAATTTACAGAGCACATTCATTTTCCATTCAATCATTTATACACAGTTTGTTTCCTAACATTGGTTGCAACTTCCTCTGTAGAACAGTGTTCCTGCCACTTCCTCTCTAGGTTTCCCTCTTCCATTTGTCCTTCATTCCTGCCCCTTCCAGCCTTTTAAACTGTATCTTTGGGTCACAGAAATTTTATATTCAACTAATTTTATAAGTAACATGGCAGAGCGGAGTCTCTGAAAGCTAATGCAAGTTAACAAGACTCTAATGCTGAGATGGGGGTCAGTCAGGGGCACGTTCCTCCCACGGGTTTGAGCACAGTGTGCTAAGTCAGGTAGAAGGTTCTGGTTCGTCCTACCCGGCCCAAGGCTGCTGCTGTACCCGGCCCCAAATAGCCTGTCACGGCAGGTTGCTGCTTTGAATTGAGGTCAGCCATTTGCAGGGCTCTGGTCTCCAGTCAGAGGCCATGGTCTGTGTCAATGAGCCCACAGTGGCCCTGACTGGTCAGGCTGTTTTCAGACAGCAGCTGAGCTCCTCTTCCCCTGGGCTGGCTAAAAATCCAAAGTAGATCCTCTGCTTCTGCTTTCACCGCTGTGCCCCTGCCATCATCCCTCCCTCTTCAGCGTCCAGAGATAATGAGAGGATGGCTGATGGTGTTCCTCCCTCCCGTCAGTGTAGACGACTGATAGGTTGTGTGTATACACAGCCAAGGGCTCTCCAACCCCCAAACAGCCACCCCACTGAGCACCAGAACATAGGCTAAACCAGGCCCACAGCCAAGGTCAGAGTGGACGCCACCCTGGTGCCAGCCGGGGAATGCCCAGTGCCACATGCCACATGTGGCCAAGCGTCCTTGGCTGAACTCCGGCCTTGCTACTCACCGCCTCCCATTCCTTCCTGCTACCGTCATGGACTTCTGGCCCCTAGAACCATATGCCTCCTCATATACCAACTCGCAGAGAGCACACAGGCTTTACCATGTCTTCTGTCCACCACCCAGCTCTCTCCGGAGCATCCTGCAGAGATAGGGGACCATTTTAGACGCCACCATCTGGAGATAGGGGTGGTGGGCTCTGGTCTGAGAAAAGGCTGCAAGCTATGGTGAATTGTAGGGTTTTTTTCCTAAGTGCCTCTCCACACCAGCTCCAATCTCTCCCTCTCTGTACCTCCTACCAGCGAGGCGCCAGCCCCACCCGGTTTATCTTGGTCTCAGACTCACAAGGGGCCTGGAGTTCGGAGCCACTGAGCAGGCTTTGAAGTCCCACTTCCTTTGAAAACAACAGACCAGAGAAGAGGAAAAAAACGCAGCTGGGAGGGGCTGACTGTGGGGATTGGTGCCTGTCTGGACAGTGAGGAAGGACAGATGGAGGCCCGTGCATCCAGCAGAGCATGCAGGGCCTGGGATGCCAGCATGGGAGTCCCGCGGGAGTGTATCCTCAAAGTGTACTTGACTGGGGAGGACATCTGTATCTCCACAACATCCTCAGCCCCTTGGCTCCTCTGAGCCTCAGTTTCCCTTTGTAAAGTGGTTTTCTGAGGGGGAGCAGGGTAAAGGTCACAGAGGATGCTGGGGCATCCTAAAGGGCCACACTTTTCTCCTGTGCTCTTAATTTTATCAAAGTAAAGCATGCTCATTGTCAAAGATTCAGACTTTGCCTCTAGGCTTTATCTTTGAGCACCCAGGATGTAAGGCCATGGGTATAGCCATCTGGGAGGTTTGTAGACAGTGTTTCATGAATATTCACTTTGGGCTTCCCTTTCTCTCCAGAGTTGGTTTTGTAGACACAGTTCTGAGCACAGCTCTGCCTCCTCTCCAGGTGTGTGTGTACACATGTGCATATGTGGGAGTGTGTACGCATGTCTATGCAGGTGTGGGTACAGGTGTGTGTGCACGTGTGCATGTGTGTGTTGTGTGGGGAGATGTGCACATGTGTATGCAGGTATGCGTAGAGGTGTGTGTGTATGCAGGTGTGTGTAAAGTTGTGCATGTGTGTGTTGTGTGGAGGTATTTGTGCACGTGCATGCAGATGTGTGTACAAGTGCATGCAGGTGTGTGTACAGTTCTGTGTGTGTGTTGTGTGCAGGTGTGTGCATGTATATGCAGGCATGTGTACAGGTGTGTGCATGTATGCATCTGTATGTTGTGTGGCATGTGTTTGCACATGTGTATGCAGTTATGTGTACAGTTGTGTGCACATATGCACATGTGTGTTGTGTGGGGTATGTGCACGTACCACGTATGCATGCAGGTGTGTGCGCATGTGTGACTATGCACTCACATGCTACTGAAGACAGCACTGCCACCAGCAGCAGCCCCACCTCACGTCTGTCTTTGTGCCCCCTCCAATGTCTGTAAGCAGGACTTTTAGGAGGAAGTGGCCTGAAGGTCAGAGGAGATAGCATTCTAGCACTGTGATTCATGGGGTTTCAAGGACACTGATGTTTTTTCTGAATCGTGGGGACAGTTCTGTGAACTCTAAGTGACTGATGATTGATAACAGCACCCAGGATCCCCAGTGGAGAGAGAGGGACAGGCCTGAAGGCATAGCTGGAGGCAGGAACCATAGTGGGATTCCAAAAGGTAGTCAGGGTCCCCAGATAAAATACAGCCCCCCCCCCCCCCGCAGGCCTCACATGGATTTGAGAACCACTGCAGGTGGTTTTCATGCCTAGACTGTTGCGTGGACATGCTTGGTGCTCTCTGAGGTCCACATCCCACTGAACGTCCTCTTGGCTAAATCTGGTGAATCCAGGAAGCCAGAGGACAGTGGGTCCAAGGTGTGGGGCTCAGCGCCAGCCGTGAAAAGCAGTAGCCTTCTGGATGAGGGAGTAGCTGACTTGGAGTCCAGTGCTCCTGCTCAGAGGACAGTCACCATCTGCCCCAGAGTCGGGGCCTCAGTCAACCCAGTGACCTCCACAGTGACCTGGCTCCAGTCCTGCCCACCCCTCCAAGCCTCTGAGAAACTCCGAATGTCTGGACACCAGGTCCAACTCAGCTGTGGCATCAAGGCCATCTGCCCAGGGACAGAGTGGCTATCCTCCCAGCCCTCTTGGCTATTCCCGCTCCGGCCACAAGGCTTCATCCCTCCTCTCCTCTCAGCCGAGATTCTACATGGCGGAATTCTCTGGAACCTCTTGTAGGACCGCCTGCAGCATGGGGCTGGGTGGGGTGGCCAGGAGCCGCTGTCTGTGTCTGAAGACTGTTGTCCATCATTGCAGATCACCTCTGTACTGGTGTCCAACTGACCAGGAGACCTCCAGCACCCAACCCTTTGTCCTAACCAACTGATGGCAGTCTGGGGCAGGAAGGGATCCAGGATTGAGGGCATATGGGGCACTGAAGCCATCCGTGTCTGGCCCCACATCCAGGGTGAACTCCTCTGGTGCACACACAGCTCTGGCTTTCTCTTCACAGTGGCCCATTACCTCTGCCCTGGACTGGGTTCAGACTCAGGGAGGTAGCGGGGGCGCTGAAAACATCACAGAGTTCCATGTGGTCAAGTGATAGGAGCCTGGGTGTCACAGGCAGGGACCTCTGGGGTGAGGGAGACTGGGAGGGTGGAGTCACCTGAGAGATGGCAGCATTGGGCTGCAGGGGCTTGAGACTACTTAAGGAGGCTGCAGGGCACCATCACCTGAAAGGGTTAGCTCAGCCGGAGGCTGCAGGGCACCATCACAGCCCTGAAAAAGGTAGGTCAGCCAGGATGATGGAGATGCTGAGCTGGTGGTCGCCTCCTGAGCAGACTTCAAGGGGATGCCCAAGCAGATGGCACCCAACACACTTGGCCATCTGGCCAGTGGTCACTAGGAGCCATGGAAAGTTCTTGAGTTGAGGTGTTGCTGCTGAGAATGGACCGATGGACACAGCATCTTCCTTCTTAGAAGCAAGGTGAATGCCGCAAACACTGAGTTCAGGACTAGAGCGTGGGGTCCATTGTTCTGGGCAGTGCTTTACCACCAGCACATGCTAGTGCCGGAAGAGATGCCACAGGAAGATGGTAGCAGGTCCCCCGTTCACTTTGTCCCTAACCCCACAGCCAGCCAGGGTAGCTCTATTACCCCACTTTACTGATGGGGAAACTGAGGTCCAGAGAGACTCTAGAGTCATCTGAGACTTGCCAGAACTCACAGCCTCAGCCCCTTGAAGTCCCCTACTGACTAGGGGTCAGTCCTGGCACTAGCTCCTGCCCACCCCCACCCCTGCCCCTTCTCCAGCGTCCAGCACTGAGCCCTCAGAGACCTTGCTTTTCCCACAGTCCTCCTCCCGCCGTGCCGGACTCTGCTGCACCAACTGCCGCACAACCCACACCACACTGTGGCGGCGGAGCGCCGAGGGCGAGCCCGTGTGCAATGCCTGTGGCCTTTACATGAAGCTACACGGGGTGAGCGGGAGCGGGCGCGAAGGGAGGATGGTCCTAACGTGTGGCTCCCCCCGCCAACAGGGTAGGCAGGAGTGGGAGGGAAGGGAGGGTGGTCATAAGTGTAACCACCACCATGGGGTGAGTGGGAGCGGGCAGGAAGGGAGGGTGGCTGTAAGATGTGACCCCCGCCAACCGCCCACACCAGGCTCCTTCAGAAGGTGGGTCTTGTGCTGTTACACAGAGGCTTGGACACCCAAGTCCTCCCTCAGTGCGCCCCAGTCTCAGCTGCCATGGGTGCCTTCAAGCCTGTGAGGGAGTATGCTGGCCAGTGGGGGCTGTGAGGACTTTGGCAGAATCCGGGAGGGGGACAGGGACTGGTCTAGCGACCACCCCCTGCCACCTACCAGGTGCCTCGACCTCTGGCGATGAAGAAGGAGAGCATTCAGACTCGCAAGAGGAAACCCAAGGGCACTGCCAAGACCAAGGGCTCATCAGGTAGGTCAGGTGCGAGGACCAGTGCTGGGGAGGTGGAGCCCTGCCTGTGGGTGCATGTTCTTCTAGCAAGGTTGCTTTTAGGGTCTTGAATTCCACCATTAGAAATTGATATGTTTGGCTGAAGCATTGCCTTCCCAAAATACTAATGCTCCCAGCTCTGCCCTCTGGTGAATTTGGTTGGGGAGGGTCAGGTGTGTCTACTCCCCAAGCATTAGGTAGAGTGGGAGCTGAGTTGGCCTCACCCACCCCCTGACTTGTTGTGTGGCCCTGAGGTGGAAGAGAAAGTGTGATCTGATGTGTAAATGCCTACCTTCCCTGCAGGATCTGCCCCGAGCACCAGCTCAGCAGACTCCCCATCCTCTGTCCCCAATTCCAAAGGCTCAGTGGCCACTTTGAAACCCGAGTCCAGCCTGGCATCCCCAACTTGCCCTGGGCCCAGCATTACCTCCCAGGTAAGGGACAGGTGGGGCGGGCACCCGGAGCTCACTCCCGACTGACTCCTGACTCCCCACTCATCAGACCAGCAAGGCCAGCTGGTTCTCATGAACCCTCCACCCTCCCTCAGGCCTCCAGCCAGGTGGAGGAGCCCCCGCCTCCAAGTCACTTGGAGTTCAAGTTCGAGCCGGAGGACTTTGCCTTCTCACCCACTTCCTTGGGCCCCCAAGCCAGCCTTGGTGGGGCCCTACGCCAGGAGGCCTGGTGTGCACTAGCCTTGGCCTAGGCCCCAGACTCTCAGCATCTGGTATCTCCCCGGAAGAACACCCATCCAACCTGCCTGTTGGCTCTTTGGGGCACAGCACAGATTTCAGCCACCCACCCACCACCAAGACTCTGGACATCCAGTGGCCTCTAGCTCACAGCACGGGGCTGCCTCAGCCTGCAATGGGAACACTTTGGTGCTCAGATGGAGTTAGAGGAAGGCCGGTGGGAGAGGGACATGAACTCCCAGGCAGCAGAAGGACCCCCAAGTACTGTGTGAAGTTCTGGGCCTTGCTGGCCGCTGTCCCTATGCTCCTGGGGCGCCCATCACCAACTTGAATTCTTCGTCAACACTTGCCGTTGACATGTTTACGGGCTCTGGGGTTGGAAGACCCCTGACCTCATGCTGTGAAATACGATCCCAAACCCACCCGTAGGCCAAGTGGATGAAGAAGAAGGAGGCAGACATGGAGCCCCCAAGGCCTCGTCCCACAATTAACATAGAGCTATAGGCACAGAGCATGGTCCCTCCTCTGAGAACAAGCTGACAGGACTCAGTCTGAAGGGGAAGCCTTCCATGACCAAGTCAGGACTATTTATTTCCACTGTTTTCCCAGGGGGGCAGGAAAGGGCTTGGTTCTGACACAATCCATGTGATAACTATGTCCCATTGATGGACTGTCTGGGATCCTGTGTGAACCAACCATTCAGAGACACTGTCAGAACTGAAATGGGGTGTCCCAGCTTACCTGGCCATCCCATGAGCCCTACTGTCCCAACAGAATTCTCAGTAACATCCCTTTTACTCACAAAAGACCCCCAGCCCCAGTTTGAACCATGAATGCTCTGTAATGCTGGCTCCAGGCCTTCCTACCTAGTAAACTGTGAGGGGTCTCAAAGAGATAAAGGTGTGAAGGAAAATGGGGCCCCCCCACTGCTGCCCTTCACCAACAAAACCTGATTCTTTCAGGGAAACCAGAAAAATTGACTTCGTATGTGTGAAAATTTTCAATGTAAAGTTTTAAAAGAAAATCTCAATTTGTTTCCAATTTTTTTAAGAAATCATATGAGCCAACAAAAACCGCTTGCGTGATCACATAAGTCATCGTACTTAAAGCTTCTCTAGGGCCATCTGTCCACCCTGAAGTTGGCTTTCCCCAAATCTTTCCTCCCAATCTCGGTGGATGTTGCCTGTTTCTATTTTTGTGATAAATTACACAGGAAGAAAGGTTGTTAAATAAAGACCTTCAACCTTGTTTCCCTTTTCTCCTTTGCCTGAGGGGTCTTACCCGCCCTCCTCCTCCCAGCCCTGGGTCCCCGGTGACTCTCAGCCTGCTTTCAGAACCTATCCCAACAGCGAGTTGTCTGACTTCACTGGGCCCTCTGGGCTGGAAGAGAAACATCCTCACTCATGCCCTCAGGACAGGTAGCCTGGTCCTGGGTGTCTCTGTGCTTGGAGTCAGAGACTTGGGATCCTGTGAAACCCAAGGAGACTTCCTGGAGGGTCCAGAACCAGACGGATGGAGAGGAGGGCCTATTCCAAGAAACAGGGTCACCAGGGAAGGTGGGAACTAAGAGGAAAAGGGGGAAGAATGCCTTCCTGTGACATTTCATTTTTCAGGATGTGCAACAAGGCAGCTGGGTGCCCCCCCTCTGGACATGGTCCCTTACTACTAAATTTAAGCCTTTCTCCCGAGTGCCTCTCAGAGCCGGAAGCTGTCCAACGGGACTTAATATAGCCAGCCGCTGGGCACCCCCTTCCTGTGGCCCTTCCTCCTGATCGCCCACCCAGCACTCTGCCTGCTAGTTGTAAACAATCAAAGACAGTGGGATGGGGCATTTCTATGCCTCACTTCCCATCTTGTGAACTTGGAGTGGTGAGGGAATGCCTCAATATCTCAAAATTCTCTGGGGACCCCACAACTGTTGCCTATGGTCTCCAGGAAGTGCCCACTGGGCCCTGCTGGGCACCTGGGAGGGAACAGTCCCTCCAGAAAAGAAGCAGGAAGTGGGGTAAACCCCAGACTGCCTGACAGCAAGAGCCAGAACAATGTCTAGGACCAGCTTCTTCCTCTCCCTGTAGCAGTTGAGTGGTCAGCTCCTTGGCCACCTGGCATACTGCCCAGTCCTGTACCATCCCCATGACCAGTTGGCTGATTTTCAGAAGTAGATCTGCAGGTCTTTCTTTCTAGCCTTAATCTGAAGGCTCCACTGAAATTTACTCAGCATCCTGGCACCATGGAAACTATCACAGACAGCACATGAGCTGCATTGGTCAGGAATTGAACCTGAGCTTCCCTCATAGAGCTTATGAATCCTACCCCTGGACCACCTCTGCCCCCACTCCCACTTAGACCCCTGCGTTCATCACTTCCCACCAAAAAGCAGACTTATGTGTGAAGGGCCTTGACCACAAACGGTAGACCTTGCCCCCGGGAGCATGCCCCTTCCCACACATTCTTATGGTCCCGGGATTTTGTCAGAGGCCATGAAACCCAATGCCTTGCTTGCAGTTTCCTAAATCTGCAGCTCACTGCATGTGTCACGGCACACACCGCGTGCGCAGCTGTCCTGGCTGAGCATCACCCAGCGGCTCCCTCAGGATGCCTGCACTAGGTTAAACCTGCCCGAGGGCATCCGCATCTGCTTGCAGAACTGTGAGCTGAGGCCTGCTGCCAATGGCTCCCTGCAAGCCAGGAGTCCGTTCTTCAATCCCTCATCAGAAAGCCCGTCCATGCTTATAAAGAAGGGGAAACAGACACATGGGGCTAACTTCTTAGCTGACCAAATAAGGACAATTTTTAGAAACCACCACTCGTCATCATCTGCATCACGAAATGTCATTTCACCACCAGGCCGCTGGAGGCGCCATCCGGGAACCTGCTCAGCCCCGCCTCCACCAGCCCCTTGAGCTTCTTCCACTTACGTGGGGTCTTTGGGGATTTGAGACAGTGGCTCAAAACAGAACACTGGGGGTGGGGAGAAGAGACCTAGGTCTGGGGTGGTTGGCAGACCGCTCGCTCGCCCTTGGATGCATGCCAGGGGTCCCCACCCCTTTTCTTGGGGACATCAGACCTGCAGTAGGGGTTGTTCTGCAATTCGGGGTTCACCCCAGCTGCCTGTCACAATGGACACATTTGGGGTCCCAGGACAAACCCAGGTGGAGGATCCCACTGTGCCCCACTGAGCTACTGGGTCCAAGGGACACACTCGGGTCTCCAGTTCTCAGCAGTCCTGGCTACAAGGCCCTCGTGGGAGTAGCACTGAATGGGACTTGGTCAGAGCCCGAGAGGAGGGGGAGGGGCTCTGAATACTCCTCCCAGAAAAGTCCACCCCCAGGCCAGACTGGGGATCCCCTCCCACCTCCACATACCCTAAGCATGTACTAAAGGGGCCCTGAAGAACCAGGACCCCACGAAGAGCTGGGAATTGAGGCCAGGATCCCCATGCCCTGAGACTATGGGCGTCTCCCCAGTGAGCACCTCTCGAGGCCAGAACTCTAGCCCTTAGTGACGTGGTCCCTGAAAGCCACACAGAGGCCGAGGCTGCGCCCCCTCCCCATGCCCTGCTTGTCCGCCAAGATACTGACAGGGGCGGCTCCAGCCGCCTTATTTATTATCTGATAAAACGCTCTCGGCACCATGGTGGACGGCGGCTGGCCTCCCTGGGGGGGGGGAGGGAAGTAGAGTGGGGGACTGGCCATAGTGAGTCTTGTCCGGCCCAGGCAGGACACACTGAGGAGCCCTGTCCTTTCCCAACCAGTGGCCCATAGCTGCCCTCAGACTCTTATGTGTGTCCCCCACAGCTCCTGGTCCTCAAAATTCCCTTCTTTCTGTCCACTGCTTTCTGCCACAGCCTATTCCGTGGTCCGCCTCTCCCCACCCCTACTTGGCAGGAGCGCTGAGGTCCCACAGTGCAAACCAGGGCCTGCTTCTCCTTCCTTCCAGACACAACCGTCCCCCTCACCTCCGCCACCCCGGTCCTGGGTCCTGCCCCTGCAGCCACCCACATTCAGGCCCCCCAGACTATCTCAACCTCTTGGAGCCCCAGCTGGGGTTCTGGTGTATGTAGCAATAGAGGATAAACAGTGGACTGCTAAACACAAGGTTGGTGGTTCAAACCTACCATCTACTCCTCAGAAACCCTATACAGAGTCATTATGCATTGGAATTGACTCAACAGCACTGAATACAGTAACAAGCCTGCTAGATCCAACATACATGTACAGAACACTCCCCTCAACCACAGACTGCCAATTGCCTGGGCCCCAGCTGGTCCCTGGGTGTGGTCAGCATTCCAAGGGGTGGGGCAGAGCTTGGCATGGCTGGTGAGTTCAGGAGGGCTGGAGGAAGCTCGGGGCCTCTGGGTCCAAGTCAGGAGGTGTCTGGTAGTGGGGAGTCACTGAAGAGAGGAAGCAGACAGGAGCTACATCTGACTGCAGGGTAGCAGGGTCCCTGGAGAGGCTGAGGGTCTTCAGGGAAGCTGAAAGTGGCATGTAGTCATGAGGCTGTGGTGGTGGGCTGCTTGGGGAATGGGAGTAAACAAAGCCAGAAACAGCAGCAGGAACCCACTGACCCACGGGGGTGGGGAGAGCAGGCAGGCCATGGCCCAAAGTGGGATGGAACACTGGCCAATAAACCCATGGAGGAGTAGACCCCAGGAAAATTTGGAGGAGCTGAGTACGGCAGTGGGGAACCCCATGGTCAGAGGGTGAGCAAGAACCTCAGAGAGGGGCAGCAAGACCAATCGACCAAGTGGGCAAGGGTGTCCTTAAGGATCTATGAGCAGGACCCTCCCCCAGGGGCCTCAAGACCACTCCTCATTTAGGAGTTTGATGGGGCCAAGACCTAGCTGCACTAGAACCAGGTCAGAACCGAGCTGCTTTGAGCAAACTCAGCCCCCCTGCAGACCCCTCCTCAGGTGAGAAAACCCAAGAAAAGAGGTTGTGGGAGTCAGTCTGTATTTTCACCCAGAACAGAAACACTGCGTGGGCGTTGTGAAAAATGTTTGAAGGACACAGAA